GGTGTACTTCCTCGCCGTAGAGAAGCACCGCGCGACCTTCCTGGCCCCCATCGGCGTCGGCATCTCGGTGTTCATCGCGCACATCACCGCCACAAACTGGACCGGAACATCGATCAACCCTGCTCGCTCCTTCGGGCCTGCCGTCATCGCCGGCTTTGTCAACTACCACTGGATCTACTGGATCGGCCCCTTCGCCGGTGCTATCCTGTCCTTCCTGGTCTACGCCATGTTCAAGTGGCTCGAATACCAGACGGCGAACCCCGGGCAGGACGATGACATGGAGAAGGCCCAGAAGCCCGTGGGTGAGCGACCTCCGCTGGTTCCCAGGGACTCTGGCTTTGAGGTGGCCTCACCCTTGGAGGGCGGCCACGGCCAGCCATGAGTAGCTGATCACAAGAGCATCACAATGGCTTGTCCGGGCTGACAGCTTACATTGTGTAACACAACCAAGGTAGAAGGGAATGGACATGTGCCATTGACCTGCTAATCGCAACGACAAATATTTGCTACATAGATTGTACGCTTTGAAATATGGGGATAGGTACTTGAGGAGGGACACAGGATGGTGGTTCGGGTTGCAATTCATTCGCTGTTATATCCATGTCATAGAAATCTCAACCAATCATGCACTTCGATCCATCGAAGATCGTGACCGATTCAGTGTCACCTCGAAATGGGATGAATGCAGGGCACTAAGTGCCTAGTTCGAAAAACGGCTCGTTACCAGGGCCATGTTTGAGAGCTTGTGACACGCTGGCTTGAACCAATGATCGGGCTTTGGCAACGTTTTTGGCCCTTGATGCAAGCTTTACGACATCCGACAGGATCTATATTGCTTCCGAAACGACTTAACACGTGGCGAGGCGTCGCCAAGAATGCTGCAGACAACGAAAACTTCAGGCTTCCTGCACCATCTGATAATAGTCCGCTCTTCTACGTTACCACATAGGGCTTCCAAGGTTAGAAGAATCTCCAATCTAGTCCATGTGTAAACTCTACACTTCGAATCGTACAAGTATGTCTCTCATCTCTTCCGATACCAACATGGCTCGCACCTCATCTGGCATTCCTTCAATCACTGAGTTTCCCCACCTCTCCCCCTCTTATCCGTTCACCCACACGAGATTCGACGATGCTATCCAAAACTTCTCCAGGACAAAAACCATCTTCTTTTTACTTGCTTTGCCCAGGGGGAGCCATTCACCTGCTTGCGTAAGAACTTCGATGGCAGGACCTAGGTTCAGCGGTGTAGTGCATGCTACATGTCTATATCCTCCGTCAAGGAAGCGCCTCTCTGTCTTTGCTATTCTTTCGAACAAGCAAGACAATGGGGATAAACTCGCGTTCTCCCAGACCAGTTCAGATCTTGTCCCAGGCGGGTTCAGGAGACATTCGAACCTGCGGCTGAGAAGAAGCTGTTGTTGACTCGTTTTCAGAGGAAATTCGATGGCAACCAGGCATAAGGCTAACTGTCGAAGAGTGCAGCGGCTTTCGTTTACACGATCTCTACATACGGTGATCAGGAATTTGTAACTAAAACCGTGAAGCAGATGTAAATCCTCAGCGTCCATTTCCGGTATAAGTTCCATGTCGAGACTGATACCGCTGGTCTCGAGGAGGAAGTGCAGATCTGCATCCGAGAGACTTGCTGTGGGGCAAGCGTGCAGAAATGCGATCGCGAGCTCCACCTCGAGGTCTGGAAACCCTGGGCCTGGGACATAAGTCTCTCGGGTGCGTTGGATGATAGCTGGGATAGTCTTCCGAAAGATTTCTGACGCGTTTGAAAAGCTTTGATGTTGCAATTCAAGGCTGGAGTTCAGTAAAGATGTTATCGTCTTTAGCCTAGGCCGTTTTATCCGCTCGGAGTCCTCAAACCAGGGCGAGCCCTTAGCAGCAAGAAGTTGCATTGCCGAATAAGGTTGCTCGAAGGCCCTTGCCCAGTCAAAGGCATCGCCACAGAAGTCGCCCTGATGATCCAAATCTGCTCCCAAAGACATAATGTAGTTTGCTATGGTTGCGTCTGAGGCAGCGATTGCGTAGTGGAGGGGCGTCGAGCCCATACCATCTTTGATATCAACATCCAGGCCATGGTTGTCAATAAGATCTGATAGCAGAGCGTGATTTCCGGCATATGCGGCAATGTGAAGTGCGGAGATGGCATGTGCATGGAAACCATAATCATCGCGTGATGATTCAAGTAAATACGTTCGCGTCGCGTCCGTTTCACTCAAAAAGCGTAATTCCCACGAAAGTAATTTGGAGGACGCGGGCGAGACGACCAATTCCGTGGAACAAGCACCGGCAGCGAGCAGAAGGCGTGCGACCGACGTTTGTTTATGACATATTGCGTAGTGCAGCGGTGTCCAGGCAGGAAACTGGTTCAACTTCGGGTCGTCTTCTCCAAGTCGGGGGTCCGGCAGATGGATAATAGGGAGGCATCCGCAGATATGCCGTCCAGGATTCTCGAGGTTAACGCCTTGCTCTATGAGCCACTCAACGATTTCGTATCGGCCCTCAATGACTGCAACATGTAGCGGGGCAGCCCACGCCCAGTCGTGGTTTTTGTCTTCTTCGGCCATCTCTGGGCCCCGGTTGATAAGATGGGCTCTATCCCAAATGCCCAGCACCCGGTCACAGAAGGGATGAGGAAAGGGCATGTCAAGGTCCGCGCCGTACGCCGCTGCGGCTTTTAGAGTATCCAAATTGCTGGCCTGAACAGCGCCGATGGTAAGAGGGTACGGATCCTCCTCCATGGTGGTGCGGTAGAGCTCCCGGTTGATGAGGCTGTGTAGTCGACGGTTGGTGCGCACCAACGCGGCCATGTCGCGTCGCTCGCTGAAGTGCGCGATTTGTAGCCACGTCTCGGCCGGAAGAGTCATAGCTCCCGCCATTTTCTGAGTTGTTGATCAGTATCTAATTGCTTGATAGGTGGTCATCCCGGCTGCCACTCACGCTGTGAAAATATCTTGTGATGAGCATCGAAGATGATACAAGAATCACATAATCTTAGCGCGAGGTGCAAAGGGAGAGAGAAGTTTGTGAAGAGTCTGCCATCTGACAGACACTTAGTGACGTCTGGCAGCGAGTGTCAGGGCCCTCCTTGTCAACAGGTCTAGCGGTCGGCAGTCGTCCTCAACTCATGGACACACACCACTTTTGGTTTTGCACTCTACTCTTAGTTACAATCAAGGTTGCGTTTCGTTGAAGATTTATTGGGTGCTTGTAAATGCTAGAAAGACGCCCAGGAGGTTAAAATAGGTTGGCAGACGATTCGATGTCTGGGCCAAGCAACAATTCAGCCCTACCAGCAAACGCGATGTTCCTAATCATTCTGCTTAATACTTAATCAGCAGAGTACTGATACAATTTAACTATGCAAAAGGACCTAAAATCTCTTCAGCTTCTAGGCGATCCACCTGAGGATAAGTATTAGATCAAAATCCGTAATGATAAGTAATAGGCTAACCGTGGATAGCTACATCGCGGTAGGTTATAGCTTCGTGCGGGAATGAAATTTAGTCCGACGTAGAGAATCGATATTTCATCTACGAGCACATAAGATAGGCTGATGACCAGTAGTCTGAGACTGACGGGGTTTTGATGTTCTGGGGTCTTCCAGGCATTGACTTTCCGGACTTTCGTGGTGGTACTGCATGATGCTATGTCACGCATCCCTTAGATTTAAAGACCCCCCATGTCCTGCCTGTGAGTAATACGTTGGCCCGGAACTGAGAGCGATTCTAACGAATGTAAGCAACATAGTTCTCATGCCTTCGTACACTCGGCATCAGATGAACTCGTTGGCCCTTCGCGGGAGTTTATTCGCAGCCGTTTGGAGTTGAGTGTGAAAGCTGCGCGAAACTGAGTGGACGGCTGGATCACGACGGCCCGAAACAGTTCAGATGCGAAAGAGTAGAGACTTCCTAGAAAGCACTTCTTAGATATGACTCGATTATGGTAGTGTCTTCAGACGATCTACAATACGATTACCTGGAATGTTACTCTGGACCGAATTTGGCCCCGAAACTAAGTTCGTGGTTTTGATTTGACCTTAGTAGATTACGACTGCACTGTTCTTCTTAAACATAACTCCTCAATTCCCCTTGGTTTCAGTACATAACCAAAAATTATCGTTCAAACTATTCAGATTTCACCGAGGGCTATAGATGCTAAATTCACGCCATGTACATTCCACAATCCTGCTCAAACCGAGATACCGCCCTTGTCAGTGTATCGTGGACACTAAAGCTTCTGGCTCTCATGTCATGAGGAAACAGACGATCTAGGGCATACCCAAATTCCCTTTTCAGATTTTTGGCTGTGTGTTCATTTCGCTGTAGTAACCAAGCGCCTCGGTCTCGGAGAAGAGCGATGGTACGTGCGATATCGCGAAGCGGGTTTTGTTCCCAGTTGATAGGTGGCTCATTAAGATGCGCAATCCAGCCTTTTTCAATCTGTTTCAGCAGAATTGCGAGAATAGAAATTTCGACACCTCCTTGCAACTCTATAGTTGGGGCCGCACCCTTGTCGAGAAGCCAACGGACAGTAGTATATGCGTTATGATGGGGTCGTATGACCCTTACCGTCAAACACAGCGCCAGTGACGCAAGTGAATTTTTTGATGTGTCGAAGTTTACCAGTTCCCAATCTTTACTGGCTGCGGTGACCCTCTTGATTTTATGTGGCGGCAGACTGAGTTGCAACTGCAATGCCTTACTCCTTGGCGTGCTTCCAAGCTCCAGCTCTCCATCATCAATAAAGGTTTCAAGGTCTTGTATACTGAAAGCGAGAGATTGGCAGGCCCGGAAAAAGGTAGCCTGAATCTCTTCCTCGGCGAGACGGAATTCGAAAGCAGCCCAGGTGCTCAAACTTCGTCGGCGTTCTTGTTCTCGCGTGAGTCGGAGAAGAAGGCGGAGATCCAGAGGAACAGCGTTGGCATCATGATAGCAGATGATGTTCTTCAAAGAAGATTCAATGGGTCCAGACCTAGGACTTGGATTCTACACCGAAGCCCCATGCTCGAGGAGTATGCTTGCCAGTCTTGGCTCAAATCGGAGAGCAAAATCAAGCGCGCCCCAACGCATGCCGCCCGTTGGCACGTTATGCTGGAAATGATTCTGTTGACAATCTGGGTCCGCACCCAATGATAGAAGATGACGAATCATCATTTCATCCTTTTCGATGATGGCGTAATGAAGTGGTGTGGCGGCAGATGCGTCCGCCGCATTAACATCTCCGCCAAAGTCTCTAACGACGAGTGTCATGATGGCCTCAGACTTTGACAGCGCGGCAATATGGGGTAGTTTGACATTTCGTACTGATTTCCAGTGATCCCTCGCGTACAGTTGTGGCCTGTAAGGCTGATCAGGGACTGACAACACCTCCCAAGCCCCATTTTCGAAGGGAGGTAGGTTTTCACGAGCGATGAGTGTGTCGTGGGAGCCGCCATTCTCAAGAAGCTCGCGAGCTATAGAAGCATGGTTCTGACAAATGGCAAGATGTAGAGGCGTTCAGACAGGATACGACGACCATCCTCCAATGCTATTTCTTGGCCCATTGTAATTACTGCCAAGGTAAACGATTGCAGGCATGCATGGACACAGGAACCGACCAGGAGAGTTGACCTTGACTTTCTGCACGTGCACAAGCCATCTGACAACTTCTTCGTGTCCATATTGAACGGCAAGATGCAGTGGGGTTGCCCAACACTGCTCGAGGGGGATTCTAATCGGTTCTCGGCTTCCGTCGCGGTTCCATATCGGGTATGGGGTGGCGTAGACTCTGTTCATATCCGCACCGAATGCCGCAGCGACTTTGAGAGTATCCAGATTGCCCTTGGCAGCGGCAAGCACTGTGATTTCCGAACATGACTCTCCGACGGCTTGACAGTATAGTTCGACTTGGAATATTCCGTACAGCATTCGATTGACCCGTGCGAGAGCGGCCAGCCCATGAAATGAGTCAACGTAATAACCAATCTCAAGCCAGATTTCCGGACTGGCTTGGCTGGCTACAGACATTGTATCCTCAGGTCCTCGACCAAGGCGTTCTCCGGTCCTGAAGATTTGATTAGCTGGCAGCCCCACGCCATGGATACTTCCATATGAAGAGCTTACAGTCTGCTTGATGTCGAATCAGACGCATGGAACGAGTGGTTCCCACGGCTCCCTACTAATGTTTCCTGTCGAGGAATAGATGAGTTATTTGAAGCAGAAAGAGCAGGAGATGAAGACGCGCAAGTTGGAGATCAGGAGAAACCAGTACATAGGGTGAAATGGCATCTGCTCTTGTCCGAGGCGAACCCCTACCACTGCCAAGTGAGACTCAAAATGCCTAATTGTAGAATATCAACAAAGACTCATGAGCCGGGTCGGAACTCGTAGTTCACTGACGGCCTCTGTTGCTATGCGTCCTAGGTCAATTGGTCAAGGGCAAGTAGAAAAGGAGTTTTTTTCTCGAGCGCGTTTGCTACCAACACGTGTTGCCAACGCCAACACCAACAACACCCCTGGCGGCTGGGATCCCCTCGAAATGTGGAGCCCGCCGAAGTGCATCACAAACTTGACGCCTCACGTCACAGATAACAGATATTGCATCCGAGAACACCAAGTTGTCGCATCCTTCTCAATAGTCCCAGCTGAGCCGAATGTTCCAAACTTCAAATCGAACTATGACCTGGTACTGTAAAAATCGCTGGTTGCAATATTAAGTTCAAGCAATTTATCAGTATTGCTGGAGTCTGAGGAGGTCCATTCTAAGCTCGGTGAACTTAGCGCCCATGTCGACTTGGGTCCAACGACCTCAAAATGTTAATTCAACACGTCTGCGAGAAGAAAAAGATTGAAAGAGTCACCAAACAGACCGAATTGCTGTTTGGGAGCTTAAGAGTAAACACTAAGAACGCCTAAGCGCAACCACCAACTTCTAAAGAGCGTGACCAGGAACGAAAGAAATAAGAAAAAAAAACATTTTCTCCCGGGCTCCCAACCTGTGACCCCTGACAGCCGCTCACATCTCTACTCAATTGACCAGTTGAGCACCCTATGAGACTGTGAGACAGGCACCGAGAAGGAAGGGGGGCTACTTTATAAGGTTCGCAAAGGAAAATTCCAAAAACTGACTTCAACTTTCTCTCACTGGCATAAAACGCCGTCTCAGCTGGCACACTGGTTGCTGGCATTTGAGCTTCCCACGAATCGACGGAAGAAACGCGTAATTCCCGCCGTCCATTTCCCTGGAGCCTTCTGTTTTTGTTCGCGTGTCACTTGAGGCGCACAATAAATAGGCAACGTCTCCTCCGGCTCGTCGTATTCATCATCGTCATCGACGTCAAAGTCGAAGTCCGGCCAGGACGGCGATGTAGCTGGCACCAACATGGAATACGAAGCACCAGCCAAAATGAGATACCGCGCAATCTCACCATTCCCTCCACAAAGCGCATGATGCAGCGGCGTCCACGCAATACGCTGGCTGAAGGTTTTCTTCGTCATTGTCCATTGAGTGCTTTGCTGATTCGAGACGCAGTGACAAAGATATCGCGCTGGAGCATTGATGTTGACGCCGTGCTCGATCAACCACTTCACCACATGTACATGGCCGTGTCTGGCAGCAAGATGAAGTGGCGTCCCCCAACATGTCGTCGAATAAAAGGAGTCAATGCCGAATTGTTCGAAGCTGGCCAGCAATTCGACAGACGGCTCAACGGGGCGAACGCGGCCGAGATTGGCGCCAAAGGCCGCGGCTGCCTTCAGCACCGCAATCTGGCCATTGGCTGCAGCTGTAGTCGTGATCTCGGGAAGATCCCTCTCAATGGCATCGCGGAAGAGCTCCCTCTGCAGAATGCCGCAGAGCCTACGGTCAACACGGCAGAGAGCGGCGATGCTTGGGCTCGAGTCAAGGTGCTCGGCGATCTGGAGCCAGATTTCGTCAGGGAGACTTTGAACTGACATTGTATTCCTTTGATTGAATACTTGGGCGCGGTGGTAGCTGGAATAACGTGTCGGCTGGCCAACTTGGATGTGAGAGAGGTGCGTGAGCCTGTTCAAACGGAGAGAACTCGGCGTGCTTGTGACCAGCAGGTATACGTCAGGCTTTGGAAGATGGCTGAATCACGTTTTTGCGATGGAAGGAAAGAAAATCCATGAGGCAGCTTCCATTCTCAGGGTTCATCGCCAATGTTGGCGGTTTATCGGCCATGTCTCAGAAAACGCGTCTTGCGTCGGGACTGGAATGTCAAACTGGCCATCTTCACCCGAGCAACTGCGTGAAGGGAATGCCAGGGCAGTTGTCGAGACTGTCGCTGGAATGAATGATCCAGTAAACAATGCCCCGGCCCGCGAGTCCCACACGGAGAGAAATTCTGCCCGAACCGTCTCCCTGGGTAGCCGCCCCGGTTTGTGGATTCATAGACCGACATAGTGGGCCAATGCTCGGAGTCGGCGCCGGGGCGCTTCAGTTCCGCGTGGTGTTTGACACTTCAACGCAGACAGGTACTACATAAAGCACGAATTTGACATCTCCGAAGTCGGCTAATTACAGTGAACTCGTAGGGTTGATGGTTTGCAACTTTTAGACAGCTTGTTCGCAGTTGACAGCATAGTTCAGCCGTCCGCATGTAGTGCGTCTTGAACTCCGACACACAGTCGCGACTACAACAGCTGAATATTCACGATACTTAATCCGGCAACTCAACAACTTGGATGAGAACAGAAAGCTCGAAATGACAACATCCCCAAAGGTAAACTCGTACAGCACTACACTCCGGACTAGAAAACACGAGATTTAAAGTTCTTCACCCAAGACACAACTCTGGCTAAATAGTTGCCTGTCACTAGTTAGAAACTAAGCGATGTATGATTCATGTCAAGGTAGCCGAGACTTCACGTGGAGTTGCAACCGAACTGTATCATATTGTTCGTCCATGCTCATTGTGGGATACCGACGGGCAGGACCCATCGTTCTCTCAGAAATCAACTCATGGAGCTATTTGTAGCCACGGACTTTTGTATCGTGTCTATGATCCTTCTCCTTGTTGACAAGAAATGCGCATGCCGAAGAATCCGGACAGATCTATAAAGAGAGGCCAGACTTCGCCTTCAGTCAACATTCAACTCTGGCATCACACAACTCATACCATCCAACAACCTCTACAAACCAGTCTTCACTCACAGTCTTTGTCTTTCGACACCAAAAATCTTCAAAATGCAGATCAAGTACATCTTCGTCGCCGCCTTCGCCTCCATGGCCATGGCCGTCCCCTCTTCCAACGTCAACGAGGGCAACATCCTCGCCCGCCAGAAGGGCCCCGTCAACCCCTCCGGCCCCAGCTGCTGCACCTACGTCGGCAACTGCCAGGCTTCTTGCGTAAGTCGAGAACTTCCCATACCAACATTGATTGGATCGAATTTGAGGCTAACAAGACATCCAAGTGCCCCACTGGATGCCCCAAATAAATGTCCGATCGTATGGCAGGTCGGCGCGGCAACTTGGCAAAACGGATATGTTTTAGCTACTTAGGAACTGTTTTATCCTTGGTATTTAAGAGGGAATTTGACTTTAAGGTCTGAGGAGAGCTGCATAGCATAGCAAACATCAATCAAAAACCAAGTCAAAGCCAAGATCATTACAGCGTGAATCCAGCCCTGCGCCCCTAAGTTGCCATGAGTGAAACCCCAGTTTGTCTGAACTCCAGTGTCCGAATGACAAGATGAACCCCACGAACCCCAACCCCAACTCCTCTATGGCTATTCGATGGAGCCCGGAGACTTCAGTTGTCAATCTCCGCCGGCGCATTTAATCAGTCCGGCGGGTGGGCACCTTGGCGGTGGGATACCGAGCCGACTGGGACCGGGGCGCCGCACACCGCCGATCGACGGCATCGTCGCAAGCCAAGAGGACCCGTTACCATGGCTTCGGGAATGAGAAGACGCCGTAGTCCGCCAGGAGATCGCTAGCCTGAGTTTCATCGTCGCTATATGACAGCGCCGATATGATCTTTCAGCAATGTGGGTGGGTGGCTGTACTACACCACCGGACGAACATGGTTGCATGAAGGTACTCAGCTCGCCCCAACAAAGGTCTAGACAAACCCATCAAAGACCAACGTGAAACACACGAGAACGACAAAGCAGCATGATTGCAATGATTTAATTACCAAAGGAGTTCTCCCCTCCTCAAGGCCCTATCCAGCATGCTATCCCGCGAAAGCAAGCTATTTCGTGTTATTTACACAATGTATAGTACAACCACAGCCAGAGGGCGCGTGTAATTACATCCTCACACCCTCTCGTCTCCGCCCATGCTCTCTTCCTCGTCGCTGATATCGTACCCCATCTCCCTCGCGTCCTGCACTCTCTCCCTTGCCACGCGCGCCTCGTGCCATGCATCCCATCTCGCCTTGTCCTCCGGCGATTCCTCCGGCCGCTTGACGAGCCCCTTCTTGCGCAGACGGCGACGAAGCTGGCGCTTGTCCCAGAAATCGAGCGTTCGAATGTCGATGGTCGCGATGTCCGTGCCGGTAAGGTAGTCCTCGAGATCGGCCAAGAGGTCTGAGGCATCTTCAGCGAGCTGGTTGGCGACTTGGCGACCCCAGCCGTTGGTGGTCCACTCGTCCATCTTGACAGGAATGGCATAGCCCCAGGTAGGATCCGTGGCCGACCAGACGCAAGGCGTCGATGAGCATGTCGTCGGGCGGCAGTAAAGCTCGCACATGGCCGACTCGGCGGCGTACCACACTGCGCTGATGATGACGAGCAAGCCGAGGAAGGTGATGCGGAGAGGGTTGCGGTGCATGAGTTGGGGGATGGGAAGCTGAATGACGTTGACCTTCTCATCGGAAGAGATGCTGGTGTGGTCGGCAGTCTTCTGAGTGGCGGTGGATTGCTGGAATGCAGTTCCCTTTGCCTGCTGATCTTGTACCATCGCGATCATCTTCTCCATCTCGCTGATCTTGTTCTCGTTGTACGAGGGGTCGGCGTGAGACACCTTGTCCTCCAGGCGTTCGATACCCTGCTTGGCTGAG